GGGCTTTAGCAATTCTTCCGACTCAGCCTTCCAAGTAGCCATAACTACAGGCACGTACTACCATGCCTGGCTAATTTTTGATAGATTGTAGAGACAAGGTGTCACCAAGTTGCCCTAGTGGGTCTCCAACCCGCGGGCTCAGGCAGTCCACTCGCCTTGGCCTCCCAAAGTGCTGGGATTATAGGCTGAGCCACTGAGCCTGACCTCTTTTTTTTTTTGGAGACCTTGTTTCTTAAAAAAAAAAAATTGGCCGGACTCGGTGGCTCAGCCTGTAATCCCAGCACTTTGGGAGGCTGAGGCAAGTGGATTGCCTGAGCCTCTGGGTTCAAGACCAGCCCAAACAACTTGGCAAGACCTCCTCTACAATAAATAAAAATATTAGCTGGGTATGGTAGCACGCGCCTGTAGTTCTGGCTGCTTGGAAAGCTGAGGCAGAAGAATCACCGGAGCCCAGCAGGTCGACGCTGGAGTGGTCATGAGTGTGCCATTGCACTCCAGCCTGGACGACAGAGTGAGACTTCAACTAAAAAAAAGAAAAAAGAAAATTGCATTATTGGGCTTCTGCACTAGACTAGAGTCCAGTCTCTCTCTCTCTCTCTCTCTCTCTCTCTCTCTCTCTCTCTCTTCTTCCCCCCAATCACCGACGCCATCTCCACCTTTGGGGTACCCTGAACTCGGCTGGAGCTGGTCTCCAGCAATAAAAAAGAAAAAAAAAAATTGCATCATTGTCTTCTGCTTCCCATTGTTTTAGTTGAGAAATAATCTCTTAGTCTAATTATTTTAAGATTTTTCTTTTTGTCTTTGATTTTCAATGGTTTATTATGAAGTACTTAGGGGTAGATTCAAGTTTTCAAAAAGTATTCTGGGCTTTTTTGAATCTGTGCTTTTATGTCTTTTATTTTTATTTATTTATTTTATTATTTTTTTGAACTGGTCTTGAACCCGTGGGCTTAGACAATCTTCTCACCTCGGCCTCCCGAAGTGCTGGGATTATAGATGTGAGCCACTGAAGCCAGTTCTTCTGTGTCTTTTTAGAAAATGTGTTTTTTTTTTTTTTGAGTTGGAGTCTCACTCTGTCACCCGGACTGGAGTGCAGTGGCCGCTCCCGGCCATCGCAGCCTCGACCTGCTGGGCTCCGT